AGGCTAAGTGAGGGTAAGCAGCTTGCCTGTCATGGAGTGAGGGCAGTTGGGGACCGGGCCCCATGCCATCTGGCTGCAGAGCATGCACCCTTAATCCTCCGTGAGATACATCCTCTATTTTCTCCCTGGAGTGCAGAAGGGGAAGTGGGGAAGGAAGGCCAAAACTGGCAGTTCAAAAAGAATATTGAAGGATACATTGAAAAACATGCATCCAAGATTTAAATAATAATAAGACACCTGTTGCCGGTGCTTTCCTTAGGGGAGTTGTTATGGTTTGGGACTCAGCCTCCTGTGGCTGTTTCTGCCAAGTGGAGGTGAGGCTGCAATCTTCCTGGGCCTCTTCAAAAGTGATGTCAGTTACAGAGGGTCCCCAGTACTAAGTGATCCCTGTAGCTGCCACACAGGTGTGGAACGCATTCCTGACCTCCAGTCCTCTGAGAGGAACATCCCCTTGAACTTGTTTAGCAGAAACACTGACCTGAAATTGAGTAGGCCAGCGAGATGGAAGTTGAATCATGATGTATTTATTAAACCGAGCACTGGGTTTGACACTCAGAGGAACACCAGATTAATTCGAGACACATTTCTTGCCCTTAAGGGGCTTACAGCACTGATTTGGCTTATGGATCACCCAACAACCATGAGGATGGAGAAACCAAATCTCCACCTTGGGCTCATTGTGCTGCACGATGTGACAGGCCAGGGATTAAAAGGGCCTTGAAGTATGTGGAATGCATGCACGGCCTGCAGCTCCTCAGCCTGTGTGCGTGAACTCCATGAGCAGCCTGGCTGCAGAGTGAAGGTGGCTGTTTGTTCATAAACGTTGTCATTTCATTGAGACTGCTATTTCATCTTTGAACCTTGGCTTCAAAGGAACACTGACCTTATTCTTGTAGCTTGCCTTTCTTTGAAGCCTATGGCTTTGCATTGCAGATTAAAGTGAAGATATTCATCAAGGGACAGATCTGGCCAACTGCTCCCCAAACTCAACCCAAAACAAAGCCTTGAAAGACTCCAATCACAGTTGCAGTGGAGTGGGCCAAAGATGAAGGCTTGGAGCCGTGCTCTCTTTCTCAGACCCTGTAAGGCAGCTCTGGAATGACATAGTGCATCCCTTTGAGCTCCGGGGAGCTTTACCCCAAAAGTCCGTATATCTCAGCAGAGAGGGGTGAGTTAATGCAATATTCTCAACCTGTCTTGTTCATTTTATTTAAAGCAGGCATTGTCATAAATGAGGCCAACATGAACATTCACTGGTGTTTTTGAATTCTTCAAAAGATGTGTTAGACAGAACCATCTGAAACTTAGTGGATGATTCTGTCAGTTTTCTTTTCTACTACTTTCCTATCTTCACCCGTTTGAAAAGAAATTGTCCTATTTTTTCCCCTTGGGTTCTTCCATCTTGGCTCTAAGAAAACAGACTTCACACATTGCCTTCTCTGTTCTTTATTTTTTTCTTTTCCCTATTAAGGTGGTAAGAGGAGTAAAGTGAGAAACTTCAACTGGGAGGTAAAAAAATAATAAGCAAATAATTCTTTAATTATAAGGCCTTATAGAGAGAACCAGGGGAGATACCTCCCACCTCAAAGGAAGAAAAATTGATGATAGATGACTATCAAAGAATAAATGATCATATCTTTCAATGTGACTTTTCTGCAGATCTTCAGCTGTGATCAGATAAGCGGAGTGGGTTCTGTCTGTGATGAAGCAGGAAATCAATCCAGAGGTGGGAAGGGAATGATTGTCAGGTTGGCTACATGTAAATCAACTGCTTCTGATAGCATATACACTAAAGGGCTTAAGAAATTAGTGATCCTTATTGAGACATAGGCTAATTTTCAGGTAACTTTCGTAGTTATTCATCTTTAAAAATAAGACCAAAGGATAATTCTGTCATTGTAGGACAATTCATATAACTTGCATTTTAGCTTAAATCTCAAATAATTGTTTTCCATTAAGAAATGCACGAGGCACAATGAGATACCACCTTACACCAGTTAGAATGGCAGAAATTAACAAGGCAGGAAACAACAAGTGTTGGTGAGGATGTGGAGAAAGGGGAACCCTCTTACACTGTTGGTGGGAATGCAAGCTGGTACTTTGGAAAACAGTATGGAGATTCCTCAAGACGTTAGAAATAGAGCTACCCTATGACCCAGCAATTGTACTACTAGGTATTTACACCAAAGATATAGATGTAGTGAAAAGAAGGGGTACATGCACCCCAATGTTCATAGCAGCAATGTCCACAATAGCCAAACTGTGGAAAGAGCCAAGATGTCCTTCAACAGATGAATGAATGAAGATGTGGTTTATATATACGATGGAATATTACTCAGCCATCAGAAAGGATGAATACCCACCATTTGCTTCGACATGGGTGGAACTGGAGGGGATTATGCTAAGTGAAATAAGTCAACCAGAGAAAGACAATTATATGGTTTCACTCATATGTAGAACATAAGGAATAGCATGGAGGACCATAGGGGAAGGGAGGGAAAACTGAATGGGAAGAAATCAGAGAGGGGGACAAACCATGAGAGACTCTGGACTCTGGGAAACAAACTGAGGGTTTCAGAGGGGAGGGGGTTAGGGGATGGGGTTGCCAGGTGATGGGTATTAAGGAGGGCATGTGTTGTGATGAGCACTGGGTGTTATATGCAACTAATGAACCATTGAACACTACATCAAAAACTAATGATAGTAGCTAACTGAACATGATAATAAAAAAAAGAAATGCATGAAGTTTGGGGTGCCTGGGTGGCTCAGTCGGTTAAGCGCCTGCCTTCGGTCTGGTCATGGTCCCAAGGTTATGGGATGAAGCCCTGAGTGGGGCTCCTTGCTCAGTGGGGGCATCTGCTTCTCCCTCTGCCCCTCCTGCTGCTCATGCTCTCTCTCTCAAATAAATAAATAAAATCTTAAAAAAAAAAAGAAATGAGTGAATTTCAAGAAGATCATCAATAATGGCTTTGTGATAAGCCAGTGGTTCAAGACCAGTCTTTTTCATACATTTTCATACAACCAGACAGTTCATGTGGGCACAGATACAGCTCTATTTCTAGCTTCAGTTTTAAAAGTTTGAAAGATATTTGCTTATCCATATCCTTTAATTTACCAACTCCTTCTCCCACAAATTTGGGTGTGGTCATATGCCTAGTTTTGGCCAAAGGATTATAAGCAAGGTGGTAAGTGTCACTCCCAGGCTGATGTTCCCCTGTTCTCTGCCACAGGGATCGTGGAATCTAAAGTAGCCTGAATCACTGCTCCTATGGAGGACAGCTGTGTAAAGAGTTATCTGATTTGTATTAGACTTGGTGTGGGCAAGAAATAAAACTTGGTTCTGTTAAGCCATAGAGAGTTTCAGGGTTTATTTTTTATGGTGGCATAACTTTGCTTATCCTGACTAATCCAGGGCCTTGGAAGACATTAGTCTTACCTCACTTCCATTATGAGACTCTTTCCTACAGCATCCCGGAGTTGTGGTCCAAATACTTCTCATCTGAGAACTAAGCACCTCAATAATAGTAGCAAACAACGGTAGCAAGCAATTATATGATGCTTACTAAATAATTGTTTTCAGACATAATTTTAAGTTTTTATGTATCTTAATTTACCTAATTCTCACAAAAGCATGAGCTCATCAATATTATTTTCCTCATTTTATAGCTGGATGAACCGAAGCACCGAGAAGTCACTTGCTCAGAGTTGACCAGACAAGTTAAATCACTTGCCTATGGTCACAGAGCTAGTAAACAGGATTCCAGTTTACTTTCAGTTTCTGCCCTTAACCATTGCACCACATGGCCTTCCTAGATTGGATTTTTATTTCCTTTTCACACAGACTATTCAACAAGGGACAGAATCATAAAACTCCAAAGACAAGGTTGGAAGAGACTTTGGAGAACCATCAATTACTGCGTTTTACATGGAGGAAAAAAATCACTCTGCAAGCCATTTTCCTGCTTTAGTGAACAGAAAAGGTCTGTCTCAGGGGTTTTCAAACCAGTGTCCTGGGGGGCACTAGGACTCAGGAGAAAGGCTTGAGGGGCTGTCAATACAGGGGTAGGTGTACACACTACTTCATCCAGCCCAGGCTTGTTCTAATCTGTCTTATATAGTAGAGTTCTGGGTAAAATTTATATGTGAGTAAAGTATTCTGCTGCTTTAATAAAATTGGGAAATGGATCTCCCCATGCTTCTACTGAAATAGTAGGCTTGGAAGATGGCAGTAAAAAGTGGAGGGCTTCTCACTAGTTGGGAGGTGAGGTGGAACACATGGATTCCATGGCCCAGTGACCAGTCCTGGGGCTAGGAGAATTTACTACTTCCATGAATGCACTCACGAGATTGCCTGGAGGCAAGGACTGCCTTATTCATCATTGTATCCCCACTGTGATATGTAGTAGAAGCCCTATAAACTATATCTAAAAGATAGGAGACTAGTTCCAAAAGGCTTTGCTGAAACAATTTTTCAAAAAGATTAAGCTCATCTGGGTTGAGCAAAGTAGCACACCAATGTAAAAAAAAAAAAAAGGAAGTGAAAATGGAAAGTTATTGGGTGTGTTTTGTCCACATATCCTCAAATGGGCAGTGGTGGCCAATCCCTCCCCAACCCCTGGTTTGTTCCCAGGGAAACACAAGTGATGGTCCCAAGCAAGCACAGCAAACACATACAACTATTTGCTTCATTTTAACACAACTGATTATACAAAATTATCCAGATTTGCTGATCACATTAAGAGGTGAATTAGAAATTTTTCTTTGCTTTAAAGAAAAGCATTTCTTTGTGTTGTGTGTTGGCAGCACTTTTAGTACATTTTTGTACTCTGTATGATTATATATCATGTACAAATTGGGTTTGTACAAATTGATGTACAAATTGGGTTATATTAAGACAAAGGTGTGTATCTGAGAAGGTGGCAGATTGATGAGGCAGAAGGAAGGTAGAGAGAAGTCTAAGAAAGGATTTATGGGAGTTGTCCCCCTGCAGACCCTCTTACCTTGCGTGGTACCATCCAGTCCCATGATAAATTTCATTGATCTGATGATTTGCTCAGCTACTGGAGGGCTCATGGATGTAGCATAAACAGCACTATGTGAATGAACTCTTAAATAATCCACAAGGTCCTTTAATAAAAGAGGAAACCATAAAAGAAAGCAAATAAGTCTTAGTGTTGGTGGTGAGAATTACCAATTTAGTCCCCTCTCCAGCCACCATAGCACATTTGATTCTCGAATGTGGTCTGATTTTCAAGGGGCATCCCCAAACTGTTTATTTTTTCTATCTCTTCTTCTTAGTCTCTCCCTTAAAAACCTACAAGGTATAGAAAAGTGGGATGCTGAGAATTTGGAGTTGAGGCCTGTAAGGCAAAACCATATGTATGACGGAAAAATGATTTCCCAAACGTTTGTTGAATACTTAGCATGCACAATCATTGGCTTAGTATTTAGGAGTATCCAGGAATACAGGATGTAGTTCTTGCCCTTGAGAATATAACATTAGATTGTGCCTATGGAAAAGTAATGCGAGGAAAAGTAACAGTTTACGCAGACCAGTATATGCAAAAGGGCTATAAGACTGCAGAGGAAAGAGGGGTATTCCTAGTGAGCAGACAGGGAAGGCTTCAGTGAGGAAGTGGAATTCTCTTGAAGAATGAAGACAGATAAGGAGGAAAAGAAAACTTGGGGTGGGGGTAGGGAGTGGCAGAAGGGAGAGGTGGGAAATTAAACCAAAGTATAGGTTAGGACCTGATAAACTTTGGTTATGACTTGGACAGTAGCGAACTATTGGAACTTTTGTGCAGCACTATTTGGGGTGCTGACTCACTGCAGTCTGCTGGTCTTCAGTGGTAGGAATGATTCTTCATTTGTATGCCTGATTCCCAAGGCCAAATATAAGGTGCCAGGTAAGCCCGCTGAAAGCCTTAAGACATTCTAATAACCCAATGCCACAGTGGGGAGGGCTGCACTGGAGGTGCTCAGCCATCTATTGGCTGACCAGACCATCTATTGGCCCCCGTGTTTTGGCTCATGGCTTGGGACCCTCAGGATGCTCTGCAGAAAAGCTAATGGGCTAATGATAGCTCTCTGAATTAGCAGTGAGTCTATAAAGGATCAGCCACCTTTTCTTCAAGAATGAGGAGACAATTTAGAATCCCACTGAGGTGTCTTCTCCGATCATTCCATAGTAAAGGTGATTGGGAGGCTTTGGGTAGGCCCATCTCCTCCTAAACCCCCTTCATTGGCTACCTTCAAGCTTGGGACTGTGCCCACCCTTCACTTTTCCTTGTCTCTTGGGGAATGGATGGCATAGTTGTTCACAAGCATTTTAAACATTCTTAGCTCATCTTCCTCAGTAAAGTGAAAGGCCTGTCTCACAGGTGGTTGGTGATGTGATGCATCTACCTGGCCCGTGGCGGGACCTGGCAGCTCCATTCTGTCCCTCCTGCCTCCTTCAATGTGACCTTCATTCTAAATTCCCCCTTCCATGCATCCTTCTTCCCCAATTTCCTTTCTCCCTATTGTCCTTCATTTCATACTCTTCATTTCTTTCTTTTCTTCTACTCTGATTTCTTCTTTCCCTCTTGTGTTTCAAATTCTTCATTTAAATCCTTTTTTCTCTCCATTCCTAAGTATTTCCTGTTCCCTTCCCCTTTCCTTCCCTTCCCCTCCCCTCCTTCCCTTCCTTATCCTTTCCTTTTTCTCTTCTCTCCCTCCTCCTGGGCCTTCTTCCCGGCTTTCATTTTTCCTCCCAGCATGTTCGTGCAAGGACTTGCTCCAGGCTCCGTTCTAATGTGGAAGTCTATGAAGAGAAGGAGGATGGAAAGGCTAGTCCCTGGCAGCCGTCATCCACTTACATTAGAATTAAAATTAAGTTTCTATCTATTCTTTTGTTTAGTGAATCTCATACAAGTAGTTGGGTAGGTTTTCGCTATATTGGAAGAGTATGTGCATGATGATGGCCTGACTTAAGGCACTGGCCACACAGTATTTGGAAAGTTCACTCTGGAGGATGGGGGAGGGAGGAGCATCTAAAGAGAGAGAGGCATTTTCCAGAGTAGCTGCAGCCAGGCTGTTCACAGCTCTGTGTTCAGGGCTGCTCCATGAGCAGCAACAAGGGTTTTCTTTGTTTGTTGGGAGTTGGTACCTCCTGACAATGCTGGGGAAGCCAAGTGGGAGAGAGTGGGTAGGACACAGGCAACAGTATAATGGGGGCTAATGTGGACCGGGGCTGGAAAAGGGCTGTTTCAAGGAGGTGATCTGGCCTTGAAGGATGGGTGGATTTGGGCAGATGCAGAGGAAGGTGGAGGCATGGACCTGTGCTAAGATTAGGAATGAGGACAGCATCTTATCATCAAAGAATAGAGGTGTCAGTTGGGAGCAGAGGGAGAAACTATTGCTTCCAAGACAAGATTATCCCCAGGAAGGGAAGTGTGACCGAGAATATACAGGACAAGCTCTGGAACCGGACTGCTTGGGTTCAAATCCTGGTTCTCCCACTTACTGATATGTGACCACTGACAAGTTACTAAACCTCTCTGTGCTCTACTTTTCTTCTCTGAAAGATGAGATAATGGTAATACTAACTTCAGGGTCGTTATGAAAATTCAATGAGTTAATATATATATATATATGTATATATATATATAGTCTAGAAAAGTGTCTGGTATATAGTGAACACCCAATGAGATTGGCAGTCATTGTTAATGGATTGTCAATTCGGAGATTCTCAGAGCTGGGAGCATGGGTTAGGACCAAAATACAAAAACTCCTCCAAGTGTCTCTATCCCAGCCTCCTCATTTGGCAGAGAGTGATGTTCTAAGGTTAGGGAACTACACATTGGTACCCCCAGGGGGCAAACCAAAAGTTTTCAGCCCAGCTCTTCCTCCATCCTTACTGGGGTCGTAAAGGTAGGAGGGGAAATAAAAGAAAAGAGAAGGATTTTATTTTATTTTATTTTATTTTAAAAATTTTATTTATTTATTCATGAGAGACAGAGAGAGAGAGAGAGGCAGAGGGAGAAGCAGGCTCCCAAGGAGCGGAGAGCCTGATGCGGGACTCGATCCCAGGATGCTGGGAGCATGACCTGAGCCGAAGGCAGACGCTTAACCATCTGAACCACCCAGGTGCCCGAAGAGAGAAGCATTTTAAAGAAAAGAGTACCCGGACTTGATGACAGTTGGCATGGCCCCAAAAACATAATAGGGCTCGAAGTTAACACCACAGTTGATATTCCTTGGCCACTTGAGGCTCCATTTTAAGAACTTTACATGGATTAACTTATTTTACCTTCCCAATCACTCTGAGGTAGGTACTATTTTTATCTCCCTTTTGTAGTTGGGATGACTGAGTCACAGAACAGATCAGAAAATTATCCAACCAAAACATGATTGGATAATAAGGATTTGGACCCAAAGAGCATGACTCTGGAGTCCCTACCCTTAGCATCACACTATATATAATTCTACTCCAGACCAGAGAGCTGGCTTGCCATGTGGTGAGGCGGGCAGGCTAGCCCAGAGCCGAACTCCTTCATTTCCACTTCACTTGTGGTGCTTTCCTTAGTTCACAGATTGCTCATTATTTTGGCGGGGGGAGGAGGGGTGAATCCCCAATATACTCAATTGTTAACAGTACTAAACTACAGACTGAATTGCATCAGTCTCAAAATGCTTTGGGGCTATTGCTCTTACTTCTCCAAAGTGAGTGAGACCCCCTTGAGAGCAGGGATGGCATTACACACTCTAAAATCCACAGTGGTGGGTACCCAGCAGGGGCCTGATAAATACTGGTGATCTAAAGAAAAGCAGAAGGGTTTTAGAGACTGAGGAAGGATGGTGAGGGTCCCCGAAGTATATAGGGAACTACTAAGCTGCATTCTCAGGAACAAGTATAGAACTATTCTCTTAGTCTTGGGCATCAGTGGCGAAGATCAGACAAAGAAACCAAACAAAGCTTCTTTGGGTTCCTCAAGGGTTCTTGTCAATGTCCCCAACCCATAATTTTCCTTTCCAAATTGGGAAATTTCATAAAGCCAAGGTTGTGTGCATTCTTAGTTTGAATAAATGCCTCATCAGTGCAGTTATCATTCCCTTTTAACGTTAAGACTATGTTGCCCACAATCTTATTTCTTTTAGACTGGGTCCCCTTCCTCTGAGGGTCTGAGTTCGTGGACGTATCTAATTTTCTTGCGTGCTTCAGAAAGTGGGACTCCTTAGGTAACTTCTGCAGAGCATCAAGGAAGGTCTTGATGCCCTGTTTCTGATTCCCTCCTCGCATTCTGCCATTGGGCACCGGGAGCCATGAATTAGGAGTTGGCTTTGGTCTCTTCGAGGAAAGTCTGGGTTATGTCTTCCTTCAGAGTGGGTTAGATGTCTCCTCATACCAAGGTTTCCAAGTCCATTTGTAAGTTCAAAACCCTGATTATTTTCTCTACCCATAGGGCTGGAGTTCAAGGGCAAGGGTGGTTTGCTGAGGAAATCAGACAGGAGGCTCTTAGAATAAACATCTTGGTGTTCATACCGTGACCCCCATTTACTTCAAAGGGCTGTTAAATGCAGCCCGGGGCTGAGCACACAGGGCAGAGCTGGCTCCTGCCAGGGGCCTGCCTTTGTCTGGCACCCAGGCTTCTGGAGCTAATGCTTACCCCAAACTTGGCCGCCCTGTCTGACTTCCCTCCTCCGGAATTCCAGCCCTGCGACCTGTCAGTCATGAAGGCTACCTTTGCTTCACTCATTTGCAGGTCTCTGCTCAGCCTGAGGAGGCTATGAAAGCCAGTGGTTAAGAGCAGACATACAAGGGTACTCAGGACACATGCCGGAGAAAGACTTGGACTCCCCAAAGCAGGGTCTTTAGTGTTGACCACACCTTCTCAGCAACTGGACTGATACAAAGTAAAAAATAAACATAAACCTAGTTTCATCAGCTCAGGTATCCTTCAAAGAAGCCATTCATGGCATGGAACTCCAAGAGGAGGAGACAAGTAATTATCTCTGACATTTCACCTCAAAGGTCTTGAATAGACAGAATGTTCCAAGTTGGGTTGTTCACAGATCATCTACAGTAGCTCCAAACTCAAAGTGAATAAAATAGCAAAATCTTGCTGGCTCTGGAGAGACCATTTTGTCAGTTTCCCTAAGGAGGGGAGAGAAGGTTGAGGCTGGGGCAGTAAATTCCAACAAGCAGAGATGAATTTATCGGACATTCTGTGACAGCCAGCCTGAGGCCAAGACAAAATCTCTACTCTCTGTGGTACTATCTTAGCAAATCAATTTTTTCTCCCCTTGTTTGTTTTCAAACACTTTTGCTTTCGTGAGAGATCTGGTCGCTAATGTACACGTTCCTGACCTTGACCAGCTCCAGAAAGACTTCTAGAGCCTCCTAGAAACGGTTACTAGGAATATAGTCCCTCTATTACTAACCCTAACATTGACATTTAAAAAGAGAGCCAGACAGTTTTATCTTTGTCTAGATTTTTTGACCCAAGTAATTATTTTCAAATCTCAAGAAAGATCCCCATGAACATAGTAAAATTGAAATTATTAGGGTTTCAGAAAAATGTAAAGTCCTAGTGAGTGTGCTTTAACATTTTTATGGTTCATTTTGTTGCTTTTGTACCCACTGTTAGAATCCTGGATGTTTTGCTGTTACTCCCCCCCAGCCCCCCAATTGAGGTATACACTCCAAAATATCCAGGAAAAAATATGATGAAACTCTATAAAAACTTTACTCTAATTATTTAATAGCTAAATATAAAGATTTCTTTCAAATTAAAACTGTTAGCATTTGTCCAATCCTCTGTCCTTTTAGTTAAAAAACATAGTTTAAAACAAACTCTAAGTGAAAATTTTTTGCAAAAATAATTCAAAATCCAGGGGAATAAAAACTATGATTTAAAGGGAAACTACACATAATTTAAAATTAACATAACTTAAAAAATTGAAGGTACAGACGAGCAGATGCAAAAATTCCATTAACTCTTGGGCTTCTCAGGTTGGAAGGAAACCAGTTTATCTGGGTTTGCCACAGACTCATCAAAACCATTCCAGACAGGTGTGTATTTGACTGATTTTGAAATCATCAGGGAACGACGCATATAAACGCTTTTCACAAGTGGCCTCCAGTCTCTTGCTCACCCTCCACGTCTTGAAAACTGCCCTGTGTTTTCTAGGCTTTGCATCTTGTTTTAGGGCAGTTAAGTCTCAGAATAGGCTAAGGGACCTCTGCCAAAGACGCTCTAATTCTTGCTGCCATCTAGTGGTAAATTCAGAGACTGCAGTGTAGTATGGAGGGGTTGGAGAATGACAGAGGCTCTGGAAAGGGAGCAGGAGGTGGGGGGCAGGGATGATGCAGTTCTCCGGATCCAAGCATGCAGAGAATGAATATTTTAAAGAGCAAGGAAATGAACAGATCTACACATTTTTCTGCATTGCGACTAATGTAAATAATAACTTTCCATGATTTCCCAGTATCTATCCCAAATGAATACAAGTTACATAGACAAGACACTTTTAAAATAGTCCCACTGGCTTGAGGACAGAGAGTAAGAGAAACCAGAGTGAGCTGGTCCTAACTTCAGGCCAGTCACGCGCTTTTGTTTAAAGTGGGTATCTGATGAAGGAACTCCAAGGGGAAAATGTGACATCTACCAAATTTGACAACATTTCAAGGATCTGCTCACTTCAGTTTATTCAGGTGCCCTTGGTTCAGGAAACAGAGTTACGCTTGGTTAAAAATTTTGTAGCTCAGAACTGCTGCTAAAGTAATCACAAAACCACAAGCTCACAAAGCAATGTAGCCTGGATAAGGGACCTCCTGAATTTGAGACCCTCTGATCCCTCTGCTTCCACAGTTGGGGAAGGGAACATTTAACCTTTCACCAGATTTAGCTAAATTTTGTAGGACCCTAAGCATTCCCGATGTTTTCAGCATTACCCAGCTAATTCCCACAGGCCAGTGGAGGGAGGATGGAAAACAGTGCTTCGGGCTCAGAAGAAAGTAATGCTTGTTGAAGGGTCAAGACCATTGAAAACCCTGAACATTTGAAGCATTTGTGCATCTCATGGTCACAGTGAAATCTGTTATTTTAAATCATAGGCTTTCAATGGCCAGACTGTCTTCTGCTGAAATCCATGATTTGTCTAACTGGTTTATCAGGAGTCTGAACTCTTGTTCCTGCTGGTGACAATGAGTAAGGAATTGGGAATTTTGGATAAACTGTGGATGCCACCCGCATGCACTGGTTTTGGGCCTGGTGTGCCTCCTTGGTTGGAGCCAACATCACTGTCACAAGTCACTTTGGGACAAGTGTAGGCTTCTGTGAGATAGCTATCAGGATTTGGATACAGGCAGACTACTAGCTTCTTTATCCCTCAAATCCAGGTTGAATTTTTCATTTTCTCTTTCTCCCTGGACCCTCTCTCCTCTCTTTAATTTCTTTTAAACATTTATTGGTTTATACTGGCAACCCCCTTGGTGATATCGGCTTAAAATTACAGGGATAACACTCCATAGTCTGATCCCATTGGATCTGAATTTTAAGTCATGTAGATAAGACATGAGAGGGGCATCTGGCTGGCTCAGTTGGTTCAGCATGCAATTCTTGATCTCGGGGTCATGAGTTTGAGCCCCACACTGGGGGATAAAGATTACTTAAAAAAATAAATAATAAATAAAACCTTTAAAAAAAGATATTAGAGGGTGATACAATTTGACCTACGGCTTATCCAAAATTTGGGAGAGAATTATTTTGTGCAGAAAATCTCTTAGAAGGGCATTTCAGATCTTGCTACGATTTTGATTAAAACTCTTAAAATCCAGAATTTGTTGCACAGGGTCAACCTCATTAATATCTGACCTTTGCCCACTGTTGCTGTTACCTGCTTTATGTTTTTCATGCCACAAAACCCAAACTACTTACAGCTCTGTAACATCCCCTTATCATTTCTGTGGTTTGGTATATATTATTCCCTCTTTTTGAAATATACCCTCCCCCCATCATTTGTCTACAAGGATGATATTTATTCTGAGACTCCTTAGATACTACCCTGCAGAGTTAACCATCCCTCTCCTTGTATTAAGTCTTTGCCTGGGTACACTGCTGGTGTCATTTTATTATAATGTGATTTTACATCACATGCTCTTCTTCACCACTAGAGGGAGAGTTACTTGCCATTCTGGGCCTATGTGGCCGTGGACCCACTGTTTCCAGGCTGCCATGATCTACTGAGGTGTGCTCAACTGAGCTGAAGCTCTCAAGGAATCCACAGAAACCCTGCGGACTGTGTCCCCAGAGCATTCAGGTTTTAAATAGACACAGGGAGTCCCTGGCTTACCTTCCTTCCAGCTATGTAACCTCCTGCAGCTCCAAAACTTTTGGTGAATGTGCCCATAAGCACATCAACATCTCGAGGGTCCAGTCCAAAGAATTCTACAACACCCCGGCCGGTTGGGCCCACGGACCCAATACTGTGAGCTTCATCTATGTAGAGGTAAGCCTTGTACTTCTTCTTTAGAGCCACGATCTGGGGCAGATCCACGATGGAACCTTCCATGCTAGGGCATAAGGAGAAATGCTTGTCACTTGTGTATACTTTCCTGGGAAGCCCTGTGATGGTCTCCCTTCCAATCCTTCTCAAACAGCCTTTCCTGACCCCAGTCAGTGGTGACAGGGACATACAATTCCTTTTTTCTTAAGGCATACTTTTAGTTGGCTAAGACAACCTTCTCAATCTTGTAAAGCTAATCTGGCATTATTTTACTTGAAAAAAAAAATAATTTACGTTCAATAGATTGAAGTGCTTTGAGTTGTTATAGCTAATTCCCAAGTAAACAATTAGCTTACAGCATTGTTGATCAATTTATTTGTAAAATCAGCTAGTGTAACTAGACTGACCATTTTGGATTCTAGGTATTTTGCTAGTTTTAATGAAATTGATCTATGGTAATCTATCTTTGTCAGCTTGCTGCTGTCTATTTGACCAGTTCTATCTGACCTAGACTCAGTGCTTGAATTGCCAAAGAGTAAAGGAAAGAATTAAAAACACACAAAAGAACTTTGCTTAAGACACATAGTATTAAAGAAAGCACAATAGAAGGCTCTTAGGATCTCCTGTTCAGTGCTCACTGGAAGTCAAGGGTATTTTGAGGCATCTGGTAGCGTCCTCTCTTTCTGTTCCTTTAGGGCAACGGTTCTCGTTCTTGAAGGAGCATCAGAATCCCCTGGTTTGTTAAAACACAGATTATGCTCCCCTCCATCCCTGAGTTTCTGATTTGGCAGGTTTGGGGTGGGCTGAAAATTTGTATTTCTACCAAGCTCCCAGGGGACATCTGGGGAGGGGACTGCTGGTTGGGGACAACATTTTGAGAACCACTGCCATAGATGAACCCCTTTGTTTTAGCCCTAAGTGCCTAACTTTTCATAGTATTGTAAATTGCAAAAATACTTCAAGTCCTCCAAAAAATGGAAAAATATGAAGTAAATAAATAAGTAACATTCACATTTACATGGCACCTTTGGAACTCAATGGATTTAAAAGGACTTTTGGCTTTAATCAGTTCTCACAACACTTTGTGGGCTGTGTCTACACCACACACAGTTTTGACTGCCCTGACAGGCGAATTCTATGAAAACACACAGACTCTCACCCTCACCACACAAAGGAGCTTGTCAAACAACTCAAGCAACCCTTCAATTTAGTTCAAGAACTAATCAACTGACGCAAACAGAAAGTTGAACTTCTCCCTTCTTCCTAATTAGTTTATTTATTAAATTTAATGTATTATAAAAATAAATATAAGTGTTAGGTCAATTCAGTCAAAACAGTCCAGCTGGTTGTGCAGTTACCCCAGGCCAAGAAGTGTTGGTTTGGAGAGAGTAGGATGACCATCAAGTGCAGCATTTGTGCTTGTGTCTTTTTAAGGACTTTATTCTTTAGAGCAGTCACAACAAAACTGAGCAGAAGGTAAAGATTTCCCATTTACTTCCTGCCCCACATACCTGTAAACATCCCCCATCAGGGCAGTCCATTTGTTACAAATGAACCTACATGGACACATCATTGTAACCCAAAGTCCATAGTTAAGGAGGACTGCCTCTTGGTGTTGTGCATTCTCTGTTTGGACAAATGTATGATAACAAGTATCCATCATTATGGTATCTTACATTCTATTTTTTACTGCCTTACAAATCCACTGTTCATTCCTCTCCCCACCCAACCTCTGCAACTACTGATCTTTTCATTGTCTCCATAGTTTTGCCTTTTCCAGAATGCCATATAGTTGGAATCATGCACTATGCAGCCTTTCGGGATTGGTTTCTTTTCACCTAATAATATGCATTTAGGTTTCTTCCATGTCTTTTCATGGCTCGAGGGCTCATTTCTTTTTAGTGCTAAATAGCATTCCATTGTCTGGATGTCCCACATTTTACTTATTCATTCACTGACTGAAGGACATTTTGGTTGCTTCCAAGTTTGGGCAATTATGAATATAGATACTATAAACATCCGTGTGCAGGGTTTTGTGTGGATACAAGTTTTCACAAGTATGGGTAAATACCAACGAGCATGATTGCTGGATTGTATGGTAACGGTATGTTTAACTTTGTAAGAAACCACCAAACTGTCCTCCAAAGTGGCTCTGCTATTTTGCCTTCCCACCATCAATGTATGAGCCTTCCTGTTTGCTGCACATCCTCATCAGTCTTCCAGATTCTGGCCTCCTAACAGGTATGTAGTGGTATCTTAATTGCTTTAGTTTACATTTCCCTGATGACATGATGTGAAGCATCTTTTCCTATGTGTATTTCCATTTACATATCTTCTTTGGTGGGGTGTCTGCTAAGGTCTTTTCGATCAGGTTGTTTGCTTTCTTACTGTTGAGTTTTAAGAGTCCTTTGTATATTTTATTTTTTTAAAAGATGATTTATTTATTTATTTATTTGAGAGAGCGAGGATGAGAGAGAGAGAGAGCACATGAGGGGGGGGAAGGGTCAGAGGGAGAAGCAGACCCCCCCACTGAGCAGCAGGGAGCCCGATGCGGGACTCGATCCCAGGACTCCAGGATCATGACCCGAGCCGAAGGCAGTCGCTCAACCAACTGAGCCACCCAGGCGCCCCTCTTTGTATATTTTAGATAATAGTTCTTTGTCAGGTGTATCTTTTACAAATATTTTCTCCCAGTCTGTGGCTTGTCTTCTCATTTTCTTGGGATGGTCTTCCACAAAGCACAAGTTGTTAATCTTAATGAAGTCCAGCTTATTGCATTTGTGTTTTTCACAAGGTCATTCTGAATGCCTGGTTTCAGATTTTAATGAAATGAAAACCAAATACATTCATGTTCTCTTTTATAAGTCTGAATTAATTCCAGTTTTTTTTTTTTTTAGATTGTTTGTTAACATGGTTTTCATTGAGGGGAGAAGGTATGGCCATCTGACTCAGCTTAGATGGTAGCCACACCACTTACCAACTGAAGACTTGGGCAACTTACATGATGTTCTCTGCCTCAGTTTTCTGAGATGTAAAGTAAGTATGACGATGGAACCCTCCTCATAAGATCTTTCCATGGAAGCCTAGAAATAATGTTTGTTAAGTGTCTGGCATATAATGAGCACTCATTGGGTTGTTCCTTTTTTTAGGAGGAGCTTAGGAGGAAATGTTTGCAGTGAGGCTTGACTTGAGAAATGGGGAGCCCTTGACAGTGCTCTGTGTTGAATCTTCTAGGAAAGAGGCATATGGGTGCCATACATAATAAATGGCTATATGCCTTCAAAATTCTAGGATTTACTTCTCATCTTTAACATGTTATAATTTGGTAACACAACTATGCTGAAAACCTGACATTTCACAAATAACCATTCTTTGTTCTGGAACTGAATTTGGCAGGAGGCAGAGTTAATGCTGAACAGTTTGAAGACACTCAAGGCAGCTAATTAGCCATCTTTTGCTGGGGCTGGTCTAGCTGATGTTAGGAGTCTGCCCACCTGGTTTATATTTCTTCCTCCAAGATTAATGACTCTACAGTACTGCTGATTTCTGGAGTTACTGCAGGGCACACATGAGTCCTAGGGAGAACTCAGCTTTTATAAAGTGTTATATTCACCCGCACTGTTTCATTTTCTCAATGTGACCAGATTTGAATTGAACCCTTTCCTATAGTGGGATATTGAGATTGGTGCATGCATTGAAAAGGGTTTCTATGTTGGTCCTTTAAATTGCTGTCAGAAAACACAGTGCCAAAAATGAAAAAGAAAACAAGGACTGTGTTTTATTTTTTTTTTCTTGAATGGCAAGTTGTGTTTTCTTTTGACTTCAATAAAAGAAAAACAACTAAAATACAACTGTAGGTAGAGATAATTCCACCACTTAATTTGAAGCTCTGTGCAGGGACTTGAATTAGTCTTAAACCAGCAAGCTGGTGAATAATTTCTTTATATTTTTTCTGTTACATAATGTATTAGCTAAGTGACAAGACTCTTTTTTGAAATTTCCCTCTCATCACCTTCTCCTCCACATATGAAGCATTATTATCCATTAGCAGGAGTGGGAATTAAACCACTGGTCTGCCAACTTACATGGTGGAAAAATCTCCTTGGTGGGCCCCAAGTATAATCCAGGGAAGAAAAGAGGGTGAAAAGAGAAAAAGAAGAGAGCTAAGACTAATTAAAAATAAAGTGCTTTCTTTTCCTTTTTTTCTCTATTTGTTTAAACCATAGGTTAAAGTTCTCAATCATTAAACTTAACACTGTTTTTGGTAGGAGAAGGGCTTACATCCTTAGAGAGAATGGTGTTCCGAGATTTAAATATTTCTTTTCATATGTGTTTTCTGGAAGGGCTGGGTACTCTTTCTCTATACTTACTTTGAAAGTTTGGGCTCCAGTTATGCGACTTTATCTCCTAGGTTATTTGGGACCCCCTGCCCATCTCCAGTATATTTTTGAATAATTTTGAGATTCCTCAACCACAATGAGTCAACCAACTAGACTTTTCAGAGACACAAAACTGGAAGAGTCTGACTTTAAAATAATACTTAAAAGAAAACGCAGACAAGAACACTATAATAATACGATTGTAGTTTTAAGCTCCAAATCAGGAACTCATGGAACTTTAGGTCTCCAGTTTCACTCTCCCTATTTTACAGATGAAGAAACTGAGCCCTGGATAAGTAAATGGTGAGGGTCACATGGAGGACTTTCCATTTTCCATGTTTACTTCATCGGATGGGAACACACGGGTGGACTCTTCTGTTGATACTGGGCCTCTGTCCCAGCAGGGCTACCTGGTTTGGATCCTGGCTCTATTTCACCTCAGTTATCTGCCCTAGGTCAAGGGTCTTCATCTTCACAGTAATCTCAAAGGTACTGGGGAGGTTTACTCAAGATCACACGTGTGAAGCGAGGAGTAGACACCGAGTAAATAAATGCAAGCTCCTTCCCCTGACATCCATCCTTCAGCTGGGTGAAGAGAAAACAGCTTCACTATGCAGAGAGCTTATTGTTTTCCATGCTGCCACTTCCTCAACTGAAAAGAAATTTAATGATGAGGACAGCTGCCCTTGGTTGTGGGCCTACCACGGGCTGGGCTTTTGTCAAGAACGAGGTTCTATGATCTTATTTAATACTTACAAAAGAATTCTATGAAGGGCACAGAACCATAGGTGACAACACTGGGATTTGAACCCAGATCCCAGGCCTCCCTCCAGATCTTGGCTTCTCCATATTATCTATATATATAATGAGACTTAGCTGGTTTATGGATGGTGACATGACTATTGTTATTATTGTTGGTATCATTATCATTATCATAACTGCTTTTGTGGAGTTTATGGATTTCTTAGACTTGGTATCTGGCTTTTTCTACCTTGATACCTGTCTGAAACTGCTGGATTTGGTTGACTGCTTTTTTTAGGAATTATGAAAAAATTGATTTCTGGGGCATTTGTGGTGGTGGTGGTGGGAGGGACTTTTCCCATGGTGGCAAACCACAGCAATAGATTAAAAAAAATATCTGGGAGTGAAAATTCAAAGGAGGCTTTGTGTTGATGTCAACAAGATATGTGTCCATAACACATTACTAAAAAGTAGAAGTGCATTTGTGAACTGTTGATTTCACATTCCTAACCCTAGCCCTTTGGAAAATTTTGTGGGAAATAATTTCATTTTTTGGTGATAGCAGCAAATGAGAACATCCACTATGTTTCAGAACTCTAGTCTCGGTTAGCCTTATCTTACAGATGAAGAAACTGAGGCCCCAGGAAGTACTGAGGTTTGTCTAAGAGGTGCCCTACTTCCTAGCTATGAATGGGCCCTTTGAGGTCCCAGTTTCATGTGAAGACAAGAGGGGCGCCTGGGCGGCTCAGTCGTTAAGCATGTGCCTTCAGCTCAGGTCATGATCTCAGGGTCCTGGGATCGAGCCCCGCATCCGGCTCCCTGCTTCTCCCTCTCCCACTCTCCCTGTTTGTGTTCCTGCTCTTGCTATCTCTCTCTCTGTCAAGTAAATAAATAAAATCTTAAAAAAAAAAGACAAGATTCTGTGCAGATGAGATAAAATAAATCTCTCTATGAAGGGAAGTCCATGGCAAGTGGAGGTTTCATTGTACAAATAAATGCCAGGCTGATTGAGCCACTGTGGTAGATTGCCTGCAAAGACGGCTGCCTGCAAGTCTTCCCATCCCTCTACACACAAGTCCATCCTCCCATCAAGAGGTGGGTTCTATTTCCCTTCCCCTTGAATCTGGGCTGGGCTTTTGCCATACTTTGACCAATAGACTATGGCAGAAGGGATGCTATACCGGTTCTGGGCCCTGCCCTTAAAAGACTGGCAGCTTCTGCTCTCATTTTCTCGGAAGACGGCACCACGTTGTAAGGAAGTTCTGGCTTGATTGCTGAGTGAGAAGAGCCTATAGACTGAGCACCCCAGAGAAGAGAAGGGAACAAGGTACTTCAGCCAACAACTAGTACTGAGTGGGGTCATTTTAGATGTTCCAGATCCCAGCTGGACTCCCAGGGGAATGGCCCCAGCCAACACCATATGGAGCAGAAGAACTACCCAGTGGGTCCAGGCAACCCACCGTGGTGTGGGAAATGATAACTTATTTCAGTGTAAGCCGTTATGCTTTGGGTGGTGTGTTACACAGTATCAGATAACAGAACAGGCCCCCATTGCTAGTGAGGCCCAGGCTGTGGTTTGGTGCCATGCAGGCTTGGAGGCAGAAGTCCACACCTGGCTCTGCTGTCCTCCTGAGATCATGGTAGGACACAGGCCCAGCCATTAACAAGCCCTGCTGCTGGAGTGGGTTCTCTGTGTAACTGATGGGAACAGTTGACAGTAAAATCCTGGTGGTCCACTCAATTTCAGCTACGATCAAAGTACTTCAAACACAACTTTCCTTTAGTGGAGCCAAGTTTTGTTTATTTGCAGTTGGATTCTGTCAACTCTGGTTAAAGAAGATGCCCAGTCTGCCCTCCCTCAGCTGATCCATGCTCTTGCAAGTCCAGGCCTGAATGACAGGTGTTTAGATAAGAGCTCCCTTCCCCACCTGACAGCTGGCACAGATCACATAGAGAGAAAGACCTGGCTTTGAGGTTATGACAGCCGAGTCAATATGAGATTATTTCCGAAAAGTAGCAAGTTCAAGGCCACTGAGTAAAGTATTCATTAAACTGAATTATTAACTGAATGATGCCACAGCAGGGTCTTTCAGTCTCGGCACTGTTGACATTTTGAGCGGGTTGATTCTCTGTTGTAGGGGCCTGTCCTATGCATTGTAGGATGCTTAGCAGCATCCCTAGCCTCTGCCCACTAGACGCCAGTAGTACTCTATTACAGTTGTGACAACTGAAAATTGCCCAAAGTGTCCAGGATAGGGGTGGGTTGTGGGAGGGAATCACCTTGGTTGAGAACGCGGTTCTAGGGTGATCCTAAAGACTTCATAAATAAAACACTGTCTGGGGGCTGACCTGAGGCGGTACTGATGGGTGATACATAAAGTGGGCCACTAGAAACTTGAAATGCCAGCTTTGTAACTCTACAGTAGCCCTGGGGACACCCAGAACACCAGGGACTGGGGCAGTAAGGCTGAGGGAAAAACAAGATGGTACCTGGCTTATTATTATTATCATTATTATTATTTTAAATTGAGGAGAAAGCACTTCTTTTTCCCAAAAGGAATGGAGACATGTTTCTTCTGTTGCTTGTTATCTATTCATGGAACAAAAACGATGCGCACTCTGGCTGAATGAAAAGCTCTGTCAGATCTAAATCTCCTTTGCAAGCACACTTCTCCTTGTGGGGAAGTTAGGTTCTCATTCCCTTCCATTTAATATTGTTTGCTTTTCTATAATTATAAGAAACATCTCCCTCAATTCTTTGAACATGAAGATTGTTTGAGAACTGATTTAAGGAGGCAGCTCTCTGACATTGTTTCCTTGACTCAGGGACTAGGGCATTCGACAGCAGAACGACTTGGAGGCAATTTCTGTTTCAGCAGCGATAACCAATTCAGAAAGAGAATGAAGCCAATTCCATCACAACGTGCCTTGTAAAAGCTCTCAGTGGCTTAGTGGGTGTTTTGTCTGCTCGGCTTCAAAGCGGTGGGAAACCGAGCATACCTTCAGATGCTAAGTCCAGCCGCTCCCAGCTCTGGATCAAGAATTGCACTTGAGGTTAGTCTTAACTTTGTGGAAAATGTGCTGGCTTTTTGTATTCTAATGCCGACAGTTGGTCAAGTTCAGCAAGCAACTGGAGTTTGCGTGCACTCTCCAGTTAGAAGCATCTGGGTGCCTGTCAGCAATGCCATGAAGGCAAGAAGCATTCCTTTCTTTTTTGAGAGCAAAAGCATGAGTGGGGGGCTGGGGAGGGGCAGAGAGAGGGGGAGAGAAGAGAATCTTAAGCAGGCTCCTCGCTCAGCGTGGAGCCCGATGAGGGGCTTGATCTTGTGACCCTGAGATTATGACCTGAGCAGAAATCAAGAATCCAGTGCTTAACCACCTGAGCCATCCAGGCGCCCCAGGCAAGAAGCATTCTGATGTTGAATAACCCAGCCCCCATAGGCCTTTGAAACTGTGGGACAGCCAATGGTGGTGGAAAGAATCAATGCAAGTTATCCATGCCCTCTGAGGACATTTCTGAGAACACCTTCACAAGCATCCAGCATCTGAGTGTTCTGCCATATGAACAGACATTGAAAAGACAGGTGACCCAAGGCCTGACAGCTCCCATTGGTAGCTCTGGCTCAGGTCCCTTCATAATACCTTATATCCAACTCATTTTTCCATTGAGTTAGGAGAGATCAGACTTTCCTCATGTGTCAGCTTGCTGTGGGCCCCAGTGTGTTAAAACGTCTCTGGTTATCTCCGTACCTGTAGATGCCCTCCACCAGGATGAGAATCTTCTTCCACGCTCTGCGGATTCGAGGCTGGCCATAGATTACAGCATCTCTCAGGAGCTTCTCTAGGCTTTGCATGTCTTTAAATGATACCAAAAAAGAAACTGAGTCATGAGAAGGTTTTCATTTTCCTCCCCCATTTTCTTTTTTGAGAAGACATCAGATTTCTTGGGCTCAGGCTCAGACCTAAACTTTTTCAGAGAGCAAAATCAGAATCAGAGAACACCTGGAGGGAGAGAGAGGCTTATATTTTAGTACAACTTAACTCTGACAAGGTGACTCGTCGGGTTTGTATAGCAGGCAGAATAAACCCCCACTGGAGGTGCATGCTTTCATAGGCTCTTAAAGGCTCTCCTCTTCTGCTTCAGCAGAGATTGAAACACTATATTACATGCATCTTCGTGACTTCAGCTTTGTTACCAGGTTAAAATTAACTCGGAGAGGTATCATTAACTAATGCTCACCAATTGTTTAGGCACAAGCATGTTAGAGTGTAGTTGAGTTTGTATAGAGTGGTGGACTTGTTGGCAGGTGTCTCACTTCCTGTACTTTGAGACCTGACCTTCGACATCCTCCACCTTTGGAGGTTTCAGAACTTTAAGTCAGGGGAACAATTAGCACTCCTTTGCAAGTTATTTGGAAGCATCTGGACACATTAGTAAGTGCTCACAATTATTGAGCCCTATCTGCATGCCAGGCAATCTTCTGAGCATATTTTTTGTAAGACCTCTTCTAATCCTGGGATGCCTAGGTGGCTCAGTCGGTTAAGCATCTGCCTTTGGCTCAGGTCATGTTCCCAGGGTCCTGTGATCGAGTCTTGTATCAGGCTCCTTGCTCAGCGGGGAGCCTGCTTCTCCCTCTGCTTGCAGCTCCCCCTCCTTGTGTTCTCTCTCTCTGACAAACAAATAAATAAAATATTTAAAAAGAGAAAAAGAACTCTTCTGATCCTTACCATGAACCTAAAGAGGAGGCACCTTCATTTTATGTTTCAGGAAACCAGGGCACAGGAAAATCTGGTAAATCTCCTGAGGTCTATGATAACAACCAGCAGAGCCAGGATTTGAACCCATGCAGTCTTGTACCACAACCCATATTCAGAACCACTACCTTTGAGCTCCATGGTCATGTAGAATAAGGAAGGGTGGATGTCTGCTGGAATATTCTTGTTAACTTGTGGTGTCAAATATAATGATAGTGACTTTTCACTTTCTGCAATCACATGTTGATGACTGGGCTTTGGTTGAGAGACCATTGGGAAAGATTGGTCTACATTCCAGCTCTCTCTGTGTGTGTGTGTGTGTGTGTGTGTGTGTGTGTGTGTGTGTGTGTGTGTGTTTAACCCACAAAGCCTAGAGAGAGAGATAAAAAGGCATAGGCTTATGTGCATGTTGTTTAGACTCCTCATATTTCTACTGTGTTTCTTTGTACCTCCTGAGCCCTCCCTTTTTGAGAATCTGAAACCCAAGTACTTTAAAAGGTCTGGAATCTGATTTTAATTTGAAAAGATGGAGATACTACTGAACAGCTGACCTGACTATTACATAATGTTCTCCAGGCATTAGAGACTCCATTAAAAATGCTCACAGGATAAACCTAGCAGAGATAAATCTAAAACAGCACAGTCAATATTGGTTTTGCCACTGCGACAAGAAGCAGGTGTGCTAAAGAAACAGCTATTCGTTGGGTTATCACTGGTCTAGGCTCAAGTTAGCTGAGGTTCTTGGCTTCATTGGAGAGCCCTGAAACTTTGCCTTTTAGTTCCCAATCTGTGGCTGGATCTGTTTTAGGGTTTCCTTATAGTGCTAGTCCTAGTGCATAATATTAGTGCCAAATCAATGTGTGATCATTGAATCGGTTGCCTTCCCATGGAAAAAGGAAGGAGAATAACACTTTGGATCTAAATAGAAGTTATGAGGAAGGATAATTGCCTCATGTCTGCAATCATATTTCTTTAATTACCTGTGCTTTGGGGGTTTGTTTTAAAGACAGGAAGACATCTTCTGTCTTCACAGATGGAGTGTGTTTTATTAACAGGACATCATTACCCACTAGATGGCAGCCAAGGAAACGAAAAGCAGCTTTCTACTTTTGAGAATTTCCGGGATAATAAACCTTCGCCTGTATGGACATTTTGATTTAGGCTGGGTTCCTAAGATGTTGAAGGGACCCCTGTGATTGAGGGAAACAGCGCCTTTTTCTATAATCTACTGCAGGCCTGTTAGTCTCTGAATGGAATGAAGAGATGATGAATATAAGTATTCCTGTTCAAAGAGTGTTTTTCCTTCTGGGAATTGGAATTTATAAGTTTTTTGTAGAGAAATGACACATGATGAGTGTGGTCCCAATGCCATAGTGATCAAAACAAACCCAAGTGCATGAAACTAGCAGCTATTTAAAAAATGAATATTATGAGATTTTGAAAAATCTGTATATGCAGAGATTATTCTATTGTTTATGCAATCAAATAGGTCACATACATATTATAGGTTTAACCTGGAATTAGGTTTAAAATGAACACCACTAAAGAAAATAGAAGGTTCTCCCCATTCTTTTAGTAACAAGCAGCACAGAGAACAAGACTTTCAATGGCCATGATGTGTTTCAGGCATTTTGCAGATGGAAGTGAGAGGAATCCCAGTCGCTTCTATGGCAGGGAGCTCATCCTGTTCCACTTGAATAGAGAGTTCCATGGGGATAGGCTTTGGTGAAACTTCACAAAGCCCCTGGTGTCCACACTGAGATTCTTGAGCAGAGGGAAAATCAATCAGCCTTATTTCCCACCTTATTTCCTGTGAGCAGGAGCTCACTGGCCTCTTAGAAACACAGAAGCTAGGCAGAGAAAGGGATGACCTCCCTCAGTGTGGGATTCTTGACCCCATAGTGTGTGGGTTACAGACTGGTAGGATTCAGGGGTTTGTGGTTTATGATCTGCAGGCCTTGTGAGAGTCTCCTGTTTCAGCAGCCACACGCTAACATCTGCAAGGGATTTTTAAGTAATGATGCTTATTAAAGCACTTATATTTGTATTATGTTAATCCTCATGACACCTCTAAGAAGTAGGAAAGAATGATTAGGTTTTTGTTTTCTCTGATGAACAAACCAATGCCAGAAGGTTTGTAAAACCAACCACCCAAAACCAAACCCAAACAAACCAGTTTCTTGTTGATTTATAAAGAAAATTCCGAGATACAGCAATTAAAAGAATACACTTGATGCCATCGAGGCACACATACACCACTACTCTATAATATCATTCTAAACTTATTGCACACTATGGGCCTGTAATTTTGCCACAAGTTTGGGTTTCAGCAATGCCTTCGGCATCATTCACCACCATCTGGCTCGCTAAGGTGATTTCCTTTGGTTATGAAGGGCTGAGAGGAGCTAGCTGGCATGATGGGTGATGAACATTTAGCTATTAAAAATGAAAGCATAGAGGCCACATCCTGGTGATCCGTGCAAAGCAAGTCCTGGTCTGTCACAGGCATGACTAATCAGATTACTGAATTGCTAAAAACCTAGAATAATCCAACAATGTGCCAAAAACTATGATCAGGCTTAGGTGACAAATACACTTTGAGAGCCTGTTCCTGAGCCTGTCTTTAAAATTCAAAGCCCCAATAATATCAGCAAGCTGCTGGAATCTGGGCAAGCTGCAGATAACATACTGTGAAAAGCAGGCACAAGGAAACAAGGACACCATAATCTCAGAAGGGAGGTTGGCTGTAGTTCAGACTATCTTCCCGAAAAACAGAAGTGGATGTTTGGCTTCTTTCTGACTTTCCAATACAGTGACAACACTTTCTTTTGCCATGGCTTCCTCCTTCCTCTACTCTTGTGCAACTGACCTTCTGTTGAGACATGAGCGCTTCCCTTACTGCCCATCCCTCAATGGCTCTCCCCTCCTCTGGATCCAGGGCCAGTCGTGGTGGCTGTAACGAATATCAGCCTCTACTTTCCATATGCTGCCCGGTGTGGCTGATGGTTCATCCCTCGTCCCTCAAAGCTCGACGAAAACCACCTCCAGGTGCAAATATATGTAGATACACCCTCTGCTTCCCTATTCCATGGGCTGCTCACCAAAAATATTTTCATGCCTGTACACGTATAAGCATCCATCAGATATCTCTGAAGTGAAAGGATGGTTGGATGATAAATGAATGCTACTTGTTACTTTAAGTCCTTGCTCCCCATCTGTTCACCCATTCTTATTGTTTCTTTGTAGATGCTCAATTTCATCCTTCAACATTGAGCCGGAATGTGAAATATTAAGCAATATTATTTAAGTAACAGTGAATGATGATAAATAAATTATTCTTACTTTTAAGATGGTGATGGGGGACATGTGCCTTGTTTAGACTTTGGGGAAAAGCATAATCATAATGGCTAACTTTGGTAAGCAAAGTAAATGTTTTTCTCAAAGTCACATTTATAGAGTCTCTTCCCCATGAGATCAATGAGGGAATTTCTGATGCATTGAAAATTTGGTATATTAAGTTTTACGGTTTGGGTAAATACTTTTGGTTCTGATTTTCCTGATAGCTCTGTCAGTATGTGGGCAGGTGTTGCATTGCCTTTGGGCAGGTTTGCAAGAAGCAAGGTGATCTCTTTGCAAGAGTGCAAAGGCAACCAAATAGGTCACACACATATTACAGGTTTAGCCTGGGATTAGGTTTAAAATGAACATCAAGCTGATTTGAGGGTGAGGCAGTTGCTAGGGGCAGGGCCTGTGTCCTGGGGGAGGGGATCATACCAGCAACTTCTGACCTTGGGGACAAGAGATAAAGGACAGGCAGAGCCCAAAGCATGGGAACAGAGTGTCCGCAGGCTCTGGCCCAATGCAGTGTGTAGGGTTCTGCTTCTATGGGAGGAATTAAACACAGTACTGAGTTGGGATCCCTAAACACTTGAGGTCAATGCAGGAAGGTGAGATGTGATTCGGGGAATGATGTGGGGGCTCAGAAGTCAGTGTTGGGATCCTGCGTCTCAGGTCAAGGGCAACCAGAGTGAACCCTGGCTGCATCTGCCTAACCCAAGTGCCCTGCTCAAGGAGAGTTGCATGGGAGAGGGAGAGGGAAGC